CATAATTGCGTAGCGATAATTGTAGATGGCCAATAAATTATTGAGATACAAAAAGCCATACGTTCATTTTCAGAATGGCTGTCTTACAAAACGTTTGTGCGTTAGTTTTCATCTCAAGAATACTCCAGCCGGGTGAATGCTCAATCGCCCAAGCTTTCTTTCGCAAAATTGATGGCAAATACTTTGCGAGTCATGTCATCGAAACAAAACACGCTGAAACTGAGTTAGAATGCTGTATGCATTGTGTTGCTCATGGATCGTGCGTGTCTGTTAATTACAAAACATCTGGAATCGGTAAAGGTCGATGTGAACTCAACAACAAGACCATTCAAGACACTGGCACATTTGACGATGATGAAAGCACGAGAAAACCCGAGTTCAAACATCTTTATTTGATCAAAAAGGTTTGACTATAACGAAATTTATTTTTTCTAAAATTTCTGTTAATTCGAACCAGACATACCAAGTGTTTTCTGCGAACTCATAATCCCGAGAAATATTAGAATGTCACGAGTAAATACGGCTTAGTTCTCTTTTTTACATAGATATCCTCGAAACCAATTGCAACAAATACCCCACAGTCGTCACAAAATCCTTCCAAAGGTACGAAATATTTTGTTTACGTGTGAAATAATTGAGTTTATCCGAACGGATAGGCATACGTAGTCAAAGAGCTAGAGCAAAGTTTCATGCACGCCGGACTTTTTCTGTTTTATAACATTTTCCACCAAACCTTTTTGTTTAACTCCTGGCTTTACTCGACGACGATTTCGGTCTTATTTTATTTGACTTTGTGTTTAGCTATCATGATTAAAAATGCAAAAATGGAAACGTCAATATAATTAAATAGATAATATGTCACGTATAACATGATGTAGAGATATAGTAATTCATTTGATTTTTGTCACAAAAATGTACAGGTAAATATAATTTTACATGTATATTTCTTACTATTATACAAACTACCCGAAGGCCGGAATCATTGATATTGTCGGCTCATGCCATTGTTAATGTCAGATACAGAGCATAATTTCTCGGGCTACGGTGGTTGCCGAGTCTAGGTTTCGTGATTATTTTTTTTCTTTGTGTCGCAGGCTTAGCCTTCCTTGCGAACATGTACAGTCGCGTATTACAGTGCATCAATATAGCTCAGTTTCAGTGCACTGTAGTTACCGGCTACATAGCCCGAGTTAACGCCTACCGAGCGTCTTGTTTTAAAAAGTATTTAATTTCAAGCTTAAAAATGCAGTTAGTATTAACAAGAATTGCGGTTCAATTATCCATTCCTCGCCAGGGTTAGCCTGTATAGCCTGCTATAACGACGATGGCGAAAGACTGCCTGCCGGGTTTGGCAATCTATTTCAGAAACCGCCCATTTTCAGCCCCAGAACAATTAGCCAATCGACAAACAGTTAATATTCTAATAACCTTGTTATTCAATAACTGGGATATATTATTTTCCGGCTGTATATCTATATATGAATCGAACACCCAAGACCGGACGCCTGGACCTTGTATATACAGGGTGTATGAAAAAAAAGGTAATCCAACTTTGGCGTGCTGTTGTATTTGAACTACTACTCATTCTAGTAACGAAATATTTTCACATTCAGAAATGTTAGGCTTTTAATTATCGAATGAGATGTTTTTAATACCAAATGGTGAAAAAATGAGCATATAGGAGGCTGATAAAAAGTGTTAGTCAAAATCGCACATTTTCACCTCTGAGAGTTCGGACTAAAACCATTAAAAATTAACTTCCTTTGGGACTTATTTGAAGAATTTGGCTTCTGAATAAACTAACCGCATATGCATATTGAATAGGAAAAAATCACATCAGGAGAACATTCCAAGCAATGCGGCGGCGATGTCAACTTCGTATCGATAGAAATGGTGGTCAAGTTGAAAGCATCGGTGCATAATCTCTTTTTAAAAAGTGTAAATGTAAATAATTTGCAATAAATATGTTGTAAAATCAGTGCAAGCTGTGACAAGTTCGTGATCAATTGTTTTTTTTGTTCTGGACTGCTTTAATTAGGCTCGATAGTGAAAATATGCGATTGTGACTAAAATTTTTTATCAGCCTCGTATGTGTTAATTTTTTGAGGATTTGCTTATTTAGCAAAATCCTTTATGTCATCGTCTGTGTAAGATAGATAGATAATAAGAATGTGACGCAACTACGATATACGGTGGCCGACAAGGGCAACACAAATATATAGTAAAGCACTCAAATATATGTTGCAACACACTTTCAATACCCAAAATCCACTGTATATTTGCAAACACAAGTGTATTATCTAAACATAAATTGATTATCGAACACAAATTTATTAGTGAACACAAATTTATTAGTGAACACAAATTTATTAGTGAACACAAATTTATTTAGTCAACACAAATTTATTAGCCGACACAAATTTATCAGTCAACACAAATTTAAACCGTAGTCCCTAACATTGCATAGTACACGAAGTACTGTGAGGCGGTTTTTTTAAGTCTCGGGGCGGTTTTGCCAGCCGTGAATATGATTTCATGGTGCAAACTCTCTAATATCACCATTCAACCACCATATACCATACAGCAGACGTACGTTATACGGCTGCCAGCCGTGAATATGATTTCATGGTGCAAACTCTCTAATATCACCATTCAACCACCATATATCATACAACAGACGTACGTTATACGGCTGCCAGCCGTGAATATGGTTTCATGCTGCAAACTCTCTAATATCACCAATCAACCGCCATATACTATACAGCAGACGTACGTTATACGGCTGCCAGCCGTGAATATGATTTCATGCTGCAAACTCTCTAATATCACCATTCAACCACCATATATCATACAGCGGACGTGCGTTATACGGCTGCCAGCCGTGAATATGATTTATAGCTTTAAACTCTCTAATATCACCATTCAACCACCATATACCATACAGCAGACGTACGTTATACGGCTGCCAGCCGTGAATATGATTTCATGCTGCAAACTCTCTAATATCACCATTCAACCACCATACATCATACAGCAGACGTACGTTATACGGCTGCCAGCCGTGAATATGGTTTCATGCTGCAAACTCTCTAATATCACCATTCATACACCATATACTATACAGCGGACGTACGTTATATGGCTGCCAGCCGTGAATATGATTTCATGGTGCAAACTCTCTAATATCACCATTCAACCACCATACATCATACAGCAGACGTACGTTATACGGCTGCCAGCCGTGAATATGGTTTCATGCTGCAAACTCTCTAATATCACCATTCAACCACCATACATCATACAGCAGACGTACGTTATACGGCTGCCAGCCGTGAATATGATTTCATGGTGCAAACTCTCTAATATCACCATTCAACCACCATACATCATACAGCAGACGTACGTTATACGGCTGCCAGCCGTGAATATGGTTTCATGCTGCAAACTCTCTAATATCACCATTCAACCACCATACATCATACAGCAGACGTACGTTATACGGCTGCCAGCCGTGAATATGATTTCATGTGCAAACTCTCTAATATCACCATTCAACCACCATACATCATACAGCAGACGTACGTTATACGGCTGCCAGCCGTGAATATGGTTTCATGCTGCAAACTCTCTAATATCACCATTCATACACCATATACTATACAGCGGACGTACGTTATATGGCTGCCAGCCGTGAATATGATTTCATGGTGCAAACTCTCTAATATCACCATTCAACCACCATATACCATACAGCAGACGTACGTTATACGGCTGCCAGCCGTGAATATGATTTCATTCTGCAAACTCTCTAATATCACCATTCATACACCATATACTATACAGCGGACGTACGTTATATGGCTGCCAGCCGTGAATATGATTTCATGGTGCAAACTCTCTAATATCACCATTCAACCACCATATACCATACAGCGGACGTACGTTATACGGCTGCCAGCCGTGAATATGATTTCAAGCTGCAAACTCTCTAATATCACCATTCATGCACCATATACCATACAGCGGACGTACGTTATACGGCTGCCAGCCGTGAATATGATTTCATGGTGCAAAATCTCTAATATCACCATTCAACCACCATATACCATACAGCAGACGTACGTTATACGGCTGCCAGCCGTGAATATGGTTTCATGCTGCAAACTCTCTAATATCACCATTCAACCACCATATATCATACAGCGGACGTACGTTATACGGCTGCCAGCCGTGAATATGATTTATAGCTTCAAACTCTCTAATATCACCATTCAACCACCATATACCATACAGCAGACGTACGTTATACGGCTGCCAGCCGTGAATATGATTTCATGGTGCAAACTCTCTAATATCACCATTCAACCACCATACATCATACAGCAGACGTACGTTATACGGCTGCCAGCCGTGAATATGGTTTCATGCTGCAAACTCTCTAATAACACCAATCAACAACCATATACCATACAGCGGACGTACTTTATACGGCTGCCAGCCGTGAATATGATTTTATGCTGCAAACTTTCTATCTTTCCGAAATAAATGCGATATCTGAGTTTTTCACCGGACGATTGTGCCATGTTGAGTAAAGCCCGTTGATAATTTGTCCCTTTGCCCCTGGTGATAAAAGGCTGCACGCAAAACTGGGTCTATTCTATACATGGGCGTAGGAGGCATCCAGAGATTTGGGGGCCAGGGGGACCAGCTTCCAGGGGTCGTTTTGGTTAATAAAAGGGTTTTAGGGATTCATTGATTGCCAAAACTTTAAGGACACTACTAGCTAGTGTGGTATATATTTATCCTCTATATTCTTATATTTTCGGGGGGGGGGAGGAGGGGTGTTTCCACCCGGTTCCTAGGTACATCTTTATAGCAAGCGTATCATGTGAACAGTCTCAGTATCTCGGGGAAAAGCCCGCATATTTTCGTGTGTTGTGGCGCAATACTATTTGAATTATTTATCGATTATTAGATGCAAATATTTGGCAAATGAGCACTTTTTCTGTAACAAAATTCCCTCCAGATATTTCACCTGGATATCAGTGAAAAATTCCTTACAGCAAGCCAGACAACAGAGGCCAGACAAGGGAGAAATGCCGGACACAACAGCGCACAATTACAGCCTAGTCCCAGGCCTTGTAAATGCGCGCTGCAGAATTTGAGCGCATCATGAAGTCTGGGGCGACCGGACAAACGGACGTACGTTACACGGCTGCCAGCCCGTCCGTTTTAGCCTTTAAACACGGCTATCAGCCGTATGACTTAGATGAACCGGGTGGGTTTTTCTGTACTCTCGGGCGGTTTTTAGGACCAAATTCGACAGTGGATTTGAATTCGATATGGAAGGTTCACGGATCAGTAAGTTTTGTCATAGTTGCGGCTCAACTATTGAACCGAATTTCAAGTTTTGTTCTCAATGTGGGCAACCGGTGGTAATTAGCACTGACAACCAAGGACGAGGGGTTTCGGCAGATGCTTCAAGACCGACTGGCAGCGAGACTACATCTACTAATGCGTCTAGAACATCGAAGAACCAAACGACTCGTGTAGCGAAGTCGAAATTGTCCCTTAGCAGTTTTAGTGCTTTCAAAACTGCCAAGGAAAAGGAAAGGAGTTCTTTCTTTGTGCGGAAGAAGGGCTCAAAACGAGCGAAGCCAAACGACAACGACGTGAAAATAACAATCGCAGTGATGGAGGATTCCACGAAGATCAAACGAGGCGACGCGCTTCCACTTAAAGTACCTACCTTATCCTCTGCAAAAGATATCCTTGATGCATCAGTTAAGAAACATGCTACATTCAACAAACGTTTTAATTCTAAACTGAAATACGCACTTGTTTTTAAAGATGGGACAGAAGTCACTACTGTTCCTGGAACTAGTCCTCCTGAACCATTTACGCTTCGGAGGTATATTTTATTTTATCCAGTTTTGCCCCAGGCATTATATTTAATTATTTAACATATTTCATTATTCTACGAAAGGTGGAATGGATATTGCTAGAATTATGTTCCAACATAACCAGGGAGCAGCATGGCAGCATCAATGTTTCAACCTAAGGGCCTTCATCAGGAGATACATATATGTATTTTTACACATACTCTCATTAGACTCTCTTCATGACTAATGTATATTTTATCGGCAACAGGTACAAAGAAGTCTCTGGCTTTGGTTACTCCCAGATCCGGCTATACCTTGTTCCTCTTATGAACAAGAAAATAAGCGATTTGAAGGCTGTCTTGGAAGATTCAGACTCAGAAAGCCTATCTGTATCGGATGATGACAACTCTGAGCCACCAGATGTACTTGGCTGGGATGATAAATCTGTTTCAGTGTTGAACTTACCTGTTACCGCACCTGGTCCATTTTCTTCTTTTCCATCCTCAAGTTCAGATGCAAATCCATCAACTGCTTCAACCTCATCGAGAAGTTTTGACATGCTACCATCTACTTCCACTTCTACCATTATGAAAGTGGACTGCCCATTGTGTTTTAAGAGCTTCCCAATTGATGAGGTGGAACAGCATGCAGATGGATGTTCTGCTTCATTTGCTCTTGTTACAGAAAGTGACAGAGAAGTGAGAGTCATTTCTGGCAAGGAAAATTCTGCTGTTGAATTAGTGAATATAGAGGAGACCAGCAATGGATGTACATTGGTAGAATGCATTACCAATCTGCAGAATACTGGCCTAAAACCTGAGATGGAATCGGTTCGTATAACAGTACGACGGAAGATGGTTTGGGAAGATTTCAAGAGGTCACGATATCGCTATTATGAACCAGACAGAAATGAAAGACATTTGCTGTGAACCAGCGGTCGACGATGGCGGCCCGAAACGAGAATTTTTTGCAGGTATGTACGCACCACTCACAAACATATTTTCCTGTATGTAAAAGCCCACTCAAACTCAAAATGAATGAGAATTTTCTCAATCAATGGCAAGATTGAAGATAAGGTATTCAATAACCATAATGCAATAGTTATCATGTAATTAAAATCTCCCACTTAATGAGTTTGAGTGTGAGTTTTTAGAACATTGGTGGTTGCTTGCTGCAATGCCTTGCAGACATAAAGTAGTTTCATTTTCTCAAAGGCTTTTGCAGTTGATTTGAATATTTCATATGTAATTGCAATTGCTACAACAACACATTTTATTCTGTCTTAAGTGTGTGAAAATTGACAAGTACATGCAGGAATTGGTGTAATTATGTTGATAAGCATTCATACTGAATTTTGCTGTTGCTTTTCTTAGAAATGCTTGATTATGCAGAGAGACGCCTTTTTCCAGATGGAAAACCAATCCAATCAACAATGTCGTTAACCAGAAAAGATTACAAACTGGCTGGGGAAATAATGGTAATGTCCATTATGCAGGGCGGACAGGCACCTAACATTTTCTCACCACAAATATTTAATTACTTGTGTGGGAATCTATCTGTTTGTCAGGTGAATTCAGTTCCTCATAGAGAACTTTGTGAAAAAGTGAGTGAGTACAAAAAATAAAATGAGAGACATGTACTATCCCCATTTTGCTTATGTAATATCCCCATTAATCATACACAATATTATGTTTTTAGCTTCAGGGTGCTGCCGATGGTGATATTCCAGGTATACTTCTGAATGATGATGTATACCCTTTACTTGAGGAAGTCGGCTACCAGGGGGTACCAGGAAGAGAAACTAAATCATCAATTAAGAGTCTCATTGAGTATGTATCCTGTTTTTCAAGTGATACCCAATATGCTCCAGTGCACCCCCTTTCCAAGTTAAATTTTCTTAGATTAGACAGATGCAAATGTGACTCAATAAGTTAAAATTTATTTTTGCAGAATAAAAATAGCTAAAATTAAGTCTAAAGATATAATAGGTAGTACCTCCACAGCTCCACCTCACCTTACAAGTACAACTCAATTGTGAAGAGCTGTATCATGTATACGGGTGAATACATGATGACTTATGGTTCCTTTTCAGTTCAATATGCCTGAAAGACCAAGTGGGCCAAAGCATTTCTCTTTAGGAAATTTCTCCTAAAAAGTTTCTCCTATGTAAGCATTTCTCCTACAATGTGACATTAGTGATAAATTAAATTGATGTTTTATTAATTGTTTAGAAATACCAAATCTGAATGTAGAGAACATATTGCAGTGGCTAACTGGAGCTAAAAGGTTCCCTCCACTTGGATTACCAAAGAAAATTAAGTGTCAATTTCTTCATGGTTGTTTGCCTGGATGCAAATGCCGACCTACAACATCAACATGCGATTTGGTAATTACATTGCCAGTGCATTTAAACAATGAAGACAACATGAAAGAGATCATGCACTCTGCCCTGGTTGATTGTGTAGGGTTTGGTTTGTTGTAGCTGTTGGCTATGTGCAGTAGTGGGATTCATAAACATTTCTTGCACTTTTTGTTATGGCACAAAACTTTAAACATTGTTAAATTTTTAAACATTGGTCAGTTGATGATTACTGTGCAGGTAATTTTTGAAGCATGATTCCCAAGATTGTTGTGAACATTTGTTAGATTCCAGAATTTAATTAAATAGCATTTATTTACATTACCTACATTTCTTTACATTACCTACTGTAATCTTGGTATTACGTACTGTAAAATGGTATTATGTACTTAAATCTATGGTATGCTGTTTTTTAATTGTTGTCATTAAATATATTTAAGAGTTCCCTATACATATTGAGGGCACTTAACCAGTCATGACCTCTTTCTATGTTTGAGTTTGTTAGTATGTATTCAAAGTACTCTTCATAGTCATTTGGGATCTCTTCAAATTGCAACAAATTTTCTGCAACAAATTCAATTTCTTCTGCTGAAACAAGATGGAGTCTATCTTCTCCACCCCTTGACTCCGGAAGGACATAGAGTTCATTAGGTTTGCCAGAAATTGTGTCATACGAAGAAGCCCGGATTGTATGTGTGTTCCAGTGCTCCCTCACAACGTCCAGGTCTTGCTGTATTAAGCCTGAGAAGCAGAACCACAAACATTCCATGTGCACTTCATTCCCAGGTGAAAATTCCCCTGTCTCGACAAGATCCTTGAATAAGTTGATCCACCATGTGGAGCGATTCCTACGCAAATAAGACCACCAGCCTTCAATTCGTTGATTGGCTGTAGATTTCCCATAGGAGTGAGCATTGACGTCATCTCTGAACAGGCATTGCATTACTGCAATGATCCCATTTTCAGTACCATTGTCCGTTCTCATTTTTTCGGGGCAACCCATTTGCTCAGCTACACATTCCAGAAAAAATGAGGCTGGAATTTCTGGAAAATTATTTGATCTGCATAACTTCAGCCACAAAATCTTCCTGCTCCATCCATCAATAGCCCCATGAATGGGGAAACCGTATGGCTTTAATTTGTCATAGCCATCGGCATGCCAGCTATAGTTAGGCCCAGGTGATCTAAAACGTCTCCTTTTCAAACGCTTTGCTTTTCGCTCAGAACAACCGTCAGGATCAAGTTCCCTCACAAGTTGTTCAACTACATCTCTTGGAACTTGCAAGCCCTGCAACTTGAGTGTGTGCCATACAGAGCGGTAGCCTCCCATACACCCAGGACCATTCAGTTCCTCTTCTATGCGTTGCCTTACAAGTTGTTCGTCATAAACTGTATTACGTCTTTTTAGACCGTATTCATTCAGGCGGTTTTTTAGAGTTCGAATAGACATCGTCACATTGTGCTCCTTTTCTAACATCTCCACTATCCGTGAATATTCGTGACCTTTCGTGAAATATGCCGTAATGACCGCTCTTTCATCATAGTCTCGTTCTTCGTTTGCTTCTTTCTCTTCCCCGCATTGTGGACAGAAGTTATAACTGAATTTCAGTAAATAACCGCAATGAGAACAATCTTTGCTGAATCTTGGCACATAAACGTCCGCCATATTGTTTAGTTAGCGTGCAAACTGCAAGTCTGCAAAGCAGGTCAGCCACTGAGCTATATAATAATTCTTATATGGCTCATCTGGAATTATTACACGGCAAAAAACGCTCTAGTTGTTCCCGGGCATTCTTTCACCCCGGGCATTCTTTCCCGATTCCCAGGCATTCCCGGGCACTCAACGAATCTCCCCGGGCATTCCCGGGCGTTCATTGGTAGGACCGGAGAACAGGCCTCAACAATGTTGTGCTGCACCCCATGGCCATGCCATGAACAATGTTGTCAACAACATGTTGCAATCCTTGCACGCGCTTGCAAACACGTTCGAACGCGTTTGTTTCATGCTTGAAACGTGCACGTCTCTAGGGGGAAAGTATGACGTTTCTACGATAAGAATAATTTATCCCGTTTTACTTCTTAAGATAAATTTTGCCAAGTAAGAACACAGGTAGCCCGCTATATTAATATATACATAAAGGTTACACTGCACCGCACGAATTGGCGCCTGCGATAATATGTCAGCAGTGAATGAAGGACGGCGACACTTCATGTCATTTTGTATAGAATGTATTTAATATTTAACTAAAAGCAAATCCAATAGCGGGCTACCTGTGGTAAGAATTCTCGATTTTGCTGTGTGAGGTCAGCACACTGTGGGTCAGCACACTGATGATAGCTTAAATTTTGTTCCAGTACTTCGTGTACTATGCAATGTTAGGGACTACGGTTTAAATTTGTGTTGACTGATAAATTTGTGTCGGCTAATAAATTTGTGTTGACTAAATAAATTTGTGTTCACTAATAAATTTGTGTTCACTAATAAATTTGTGTTCACTAATAAATTTGTGTTCGATAATCAATTTATGTTTAGATAATACACTTGTGTTTGCAAATATACAGTGGATTTTGGGTATTGAAAGTGTGTTGCAACATATATTTGAGTGCTTTACTATATATTTGTGTTGCCCTTGTCGGCCACCGTAACGATATCTTCCGAGGACTCAAAAATTCGCGAACCGTCGGAAACTATTATCCCCCATTACCGTTGAATCAGTTTGTGAATATTTGCGATCTTTTGGGCAAAAAAATGCCGCTGATTTTCGTAAATGCACGAACAACTGAAGATTTAGCCAATTTTTTAGAGCTAAGCAAAGGGATAAATGGCTATTTTGTGCTGGGAATACAAGTGGGAAAGGTCCTAAAAGCCAAATTCGCTAAACTAAAGGAGCGGGATTTTATACAAAATTGAAGATGGTCACATTTAATAGTTCCATTTTTCACTCATGGAACTTTTGAAAATATAATTGCTTGTAGCGGAAGCATTGAAACAATTTCGTCCTGCGTTTATCAATACATACTGCGTTTGTCTTTAAAAACGCTAAAATATATCTTCAACAATTTTAATATAACTGAAGAATACAAGCAGGTTAAACGTTGAGGAAATGGCTTTGAATGTTCGGGAATTGGTTTTATATACTATTATATAAACTATGACTTCGCCATATGTGCCCGTGGCAGGCAACCATAACATTGGGCTGTCTATGCTCATGCAATCGCCATTCGCAATAAACAAAACACTTGGTTGCGTTTTGCAAATCCTTATGCACTCTTTGAGTGCTTATTTTTTACCATTTGGTACTAAAAGCATATCATCATATAGTTGAAAGCCTGATCTTTCTGAATGTGAAATAAATTCGTTTATAGACCCGACAGTTCACGTACAATAGCGTTTTGAAGTTGGATTACCTTTTTTTATACACCCTGCATATTTGAACGTTACAACTTGAAAATATTTACTTTTGATTGACAGCGGTTACACTCGCAGCAAATAGTTAATTTTTGTCCACGAGTGCAAAGGCAGGGGCGCCGGAATATGGATAATAACAGGGGGAGATATTCATATATTCGTGTTCTGCATTATTAACTTCTTTTGAAAACGATTGTTTTTACGATCTGCGTATTATATGAATATCTGCCCCCGTTATTATCGATATTCCGGCGCCCCTGTCAGGACGGGGGTTCTAAAATACATAGCCAAAGCCGGCAGGCGCTCTTTCGCCGTCGTCACATTGCCTGATGTTAGAGACCGCCTGGCGTGCAGGCTACGCCCAAGGCAGTGAAGATCGTTAAGCAGGGTAGGAATATATTCATATAGGAATACATTCAGTAATTCTGAACCTGAATATATATATATATATATATATATATATATATATATATATATATATATATATATATATATATATATATTCAGGTTCAGAATTACTGAGTTCTTTTGAAATTCATTGTTTTGACATAAAGCATGCTAACACGAATATATTAATATTTATCTGACGATCCTCGCCCGGCCTCAGCTTCTCGCTACCTGAGGATCACAGATTCGGGGCACGAGAGTCCATTATTAGATTATCCTCAAACAAACAGCAATAGTAACGAAACCCTTATTGACAGGAATTTCAAGTCATACCAACAACTCTTGCACGGTTTTACGAAAAAAAATATGCATCAACCGATACTGGAATGTATTCTATAAAGCCGCAAGGACTCAACTCAACAGTTCGAGCATTTTGTGACATGACTTCGAAGAGTGGTGTTGGTGTGACAGTGATTGGACATGACAGTGAATCAAGAACAATTGTAAACGGATATGATCCTCCAGGTTCTTACAAGAGAAATATTGAATATGACATTTCCATGGAGCAGATTGTTGCTATTATCAACCAGTCCAAGAATTGTGAGCAGTTTATTAAATATGAATGTTATGGTAGCACCATTCTACGGTTCAACAAAGCAGGCGAACATTATAGTTGGTGGGTGTCACGTCAAGGTTCAAAGATGAATTACTGGGGTGGAGCGGCAGTCGACAGTGGAAACTGTTCATGTGGAATGACCAATAGCTGTGCAGGTGCAGGAAAGTGCAATTGTGGCAAAAATGATCTGGTATGGCGTGAAGACAGTGGATACCTGACAGACAAGAACACGCTTCCTGTTACTGAGTTGAGATTCGGAGATACTGGCAAATATGGCGATAATGACGAGAGTGGTTATCATACATTAGGAAAATTACGTTGCTGGGGATAGGAGATGGAACATAAAATAAACCTGATGTGATTGATATGATATTCTGACTTGATTAATCTTTTATTTCCGTGATTTTACATGCGTGTATATAGTCGTGTTTCTCTGAGCACTGTGCATCAACTTTTATTATTTTCAATCCAGACACATAAAAACAAGACAATAAACATAGAACTGCATGCATGCTTATTATAATAAAATCAGTATAGACTTTAAAGACTGATATAAGATGATATACGAATTATTGTGTAGGACAATTGTGTAGGTATTTAAACCTCATTTTGTCGCTGACTGCTTATACTTGTTATTGGGAGAGAGAGAGAGAGAGAGAGAGAGAGAGAGAGAGAGAGAGAGAGAGAGAGAGAGAGGGAGAGAGAGAGAGAGAGAGAGAGGAGAGAGAGAGAGAGAGAGAGAGAGAGAGAGAGAGAGAGAGAGAGAGAGAGAGAGAGAGAGAGAGAGAGAGAGAGAGAGAGAGAGAGAGAGAGAGAGATAAATAAGCGAGTTGCATACATGGCAAGGAACTAAAGGTCTCCGCCAAACACACATAACTGTGCGAAACCTATTCTCTCATAGACATAACTATTCGCTCATAGACAACTCGGACTCGTTGTCTATTTGTTAAATAGAAACACGTCTAACACGTGTGAGAGTTTGGGAGAATTAAAAAATAATCAGTGGAAAAACGAGCCCGTATAGGGCGAGTTTTATTTTTCCACGTTATTTCGAGTTCTTCCAAGCTCCAGCGAGTGTTTCTATAACTGTGTAGAAACACAGGAGAAAATATTTTCTAGTTCTTTTATAATATAACTCGATAAAAAGACTTTGTACAAATATTATAATTCGATTTAATTACAAATTCTTATTACATCGCTTCACTCGATGAGCCTTGATGAGTGTGGCTGAGAGCGTGCTTAGTGATTGCTCAGAATGTTGTCACGAAGTTCAAAAATGTGACAAAAGTCTGTGTTGCCCACCTCCTAGAGTAAGTTTGACAAAAAAATCGATTTTGGCGTAAAATTAGACCAAGGGATCTGTTCTTCGGCTTCTTTTGCTCCAAATTTTTGGTGAATCTTTATATTATTGTGAGATGTTTGCCGTGAGCGATGCGATAATACTTATATCTTGACGCCGATTATGAATGTTTATGTAAAAAATCGGCAAAAATCGTCTAAAGGCACGGTTTTGAAGCTAAATATATCAAAATGATCCAAGAAATGTCAACTAAGTAACTGTAACTAGTTTTTGTTTGCGTTTTGGGCAATATTCTAAGGATTAGGCTGCTTTGAGGTATAATATCGAATAATAGCTAAATCGCATGCATTTTAAGTAAATATCATAGCGAATTTTAAAACATATAGAACTAGAAAAACGTCTATGTACTGAGGACAATGTCCTCTTTTAAATGGTTAAATTTTTAATAAAATCGGCCAAGTATTTGCACAAAAAATGCAAGTTAAAGTGAGCCAACCAATTTTAAAGGTCATCTGATCAGATGACAAAGACAAAGAGTACCTGCAGGGCCGAAAATTATGTTACAAAACCCCAAGGAGTTTAGCCATATAATTATAATGACTAAAATAAAAAAGTTAATATATACATGGACATACCGATAACATGTCACATGGGATAAGTAATTGATTTTTGTCATGAAAATGTAGATGCAAGATAATGTAATTAACAAGTTAATTTGTAACAAGACGAAGATAGAAAACAATAAACTTGGTTTACCTCATGTGATTTTATTCACTAGAAATTTGTTTCGCATAACAAGCAGTGCTTGCCACACTCATCAGGTGAATTTAAATTTCGCGCTATATAGATGCTATGGTTATATAGATATATTATGATTTTGGGGGTTGATAATTTTGAGGTTTAAAGGATCTTAATTTCGGGTGGTATTATACACACTTCAAATTCAAGCCAGGAACAGTTGATGGAAAAATGAGTCAACCATAGGTTTTTTTAGGTACTCAGGCAGGAAAAGAACCTACGCTTTTGCGTTGCCGGTGCAATACTCTTGCCTCTGAGCTACAGAGATAGCTGACAAGAGCAAGCGATGTTAATGTGTATATTATGGTTATGCTGGGAATAGGTGAGGCTAAATCAATTATGATTTTTGGCACTTCACTCGACGCAAGAATATTCTAGAGGTTTAAAGGATCTTAACTTCGAGTGATTTTATACATAACTTCAAATTCAAGCCAGGAACAGTTGAGGAAAAAATGAGTCAACTATAGGTTCTCCGGCAGGAATCGAACCTACGCTTTTGCGATGCCGGTGCACTGCTCTTGCCACTCATTTACAGAGGTAGCTGACAAGAGCAAGCGTGCATGATCAATGCGTATCAATTGGCACTCCACTCGATGCAGGACTGGTATTCAAGAGGTTTGAAGGATGTTAATTTCGAGTGGTATTATACACACTTCGAATATATATACTATTTGCATGTTTGACGGAAAACGGATTGCATATATACTGAACCCTACAGCCTGCGACGAAGCCTTATCGGATAAGGCTGCTAGAAAAAAGCAATATTATGCTAAAAGGAATGCTTCAAGAATTTATTTTGAATGAGGACACGAGATGGCGTGGTTGTTTATACTGTGCGTGTGTCCCCAAAAAAGTACAACCCTCTATCCATATCATTATTCTGCTGCTAGAGGTACTTCTTTAAGGGCAGACTGGTCATTGATCTACAAAATCCATTCCATGCATTTTGCAGTCTGATGAAACCACAGTTTTTTAAGCAATGTACAATCGTTATGACTTTCATTTAATTTGTTTAGTTTTAAAGCCCTGTTTACACTACACTCGATTTATTGGTGCGGGACGGCTAAAATGGTTACCCGTCAGTGGTACCCGAGCCCATGCCATTTCATCCACGCCCGGTCTTTGTTTTGGTAGCCTAAACACTAATAAAATTGGGCACGGTACCCATTTTAGCTGTAGCGCAGAATTTTATATACATATGTATGTATAAGTACAGTGCATAATCTCAGCAGTTATACGGCATAGCGGTTCGCATTGAACATCCATTAATGACGTACTTCTAGCAGCGCTAGAACACAGCTTAAACGGAAGTCAGTGGAACAACTATTGCGCTAGACGCACAAGTAACGCAGCTCTGAAACAGCGCTTGAACAGTGCTAACACCGCGCTAACTCGAACTAAAGAATTGCTTTTTATGGTAATAGCACTACGTTAATTATCGGACGATCGGATTGTATTACCATAGTTCGCGCGCCAGTTACGTCAGATTTAATGAGGGCGAGCACTATATTAACGCTCGCACAATTACATATGAGAGAGATATATACGAGAAAGAGATATATATACAAAGCTGTACATAGTGGGAAATATATATTCCAAAACTTGACTGGTGTGGGACTAATTGATATTGCGACGATGGTGCAAGCCTGAAGTGCCCAATTGCTGGTTTGCTAATGGCTCCTGGGACACGGATACACCCAGTTTTACGGTCAACGTTACAGAGCCAATAAATTGAGTGTGTTACTGAATTTAAAATTACCACCAAAAAAACGGAAGGATACAAATGACAATGAAGTCAGTTTCAAGCGCTGAATTCTACAGATTGCATAATATCGACGGGAGGAATAATTCGTTATTCATTGGATCAACAATCGATTAAATTGCACGGTTGATAAAATAATAAGATTCCGGTAACAGATAGCAGACCATATAGCTGGCAAAGTTTATAGTTTGTACACCATGCAGCATGGCATGCATAGTATTTTTATCGAGCCAATGGCAATGTTTAGTATCGCTATTTTTTTCTTTTCCAGTACATATCTACTGTACCTTTAGTTGCAAAGCTTTATCAGTCACATTGTTTATAACTTTATCAGGTGGTGCATCAGGCTCGATAAATAATGCTTCAAGAAGATGGCTGACTTTAAATTCTTCTTCCTCACGAGCAGTATCTTGAAATCTGTACCTTTGTGGGCCATCGTTTGCCCAACACGATCACAAACAAGTGCTGCCCATGTTTGTCGCAATTAAGTGATGTAAATTGAGACAGTGCCTTTGACCAAAACAGTACGATCATGGGCTGCAAAACCAAGTATCCCCTGCCAAACTCCGCAGCCCGCGAGTACTCGGTGTTTGATTGACATTTATTGTTACAATTTTGCAGAATTTTGCACAGTTGAGCTCAAAACATGTTAGAAAAAGATATCAAAGAGACTAAAAATTCTATAAATGACCGCGAGGAACCTTTGCAAAACGATGGAATTAACGCGCCCATTAAAACGCTCCAGTTTCTAATTTTACGATTTTAGAAACCTTTGATAAAGTGAGGCTGTCTATCTGGGTATGCACACGTGCTCTCCATTTGTCAAGTATTAAACGAACAATGGTTGTATTTCAGTTCTATTTCTAGAGAGGCACTTTTAAAAAAATTGCTGAGCCGTTGCTTTTTTGCAGCAGCAGCAAATTCGTAATCATGTATTGATTTTTAAGCTTTTTAAAACAAATCAACAATAACTAAGGTATTCCTGTAATTTGAGTTGTCATATTACAGAATGTAATGACAAAATAAAAAGAAATTTATATATATATATATATATATATATATATATATATATATATATATATATATATATATATATATTTATCAATGAATGTTCTCCGGATTTAAAATTGTTTTTTATTGAGCTTTCGACTCGGTACTTCGAGTCTTCTTCAGAATATCTAAATTATTTACATGTGTATAGCTTTATATATTTAAGTTTCGCGCTGTTCTTTAAGACTCTGCATGTATACGTTGAGAGCGTCTGATTGGTTGTTTTGAAGTTGATCTGATATGAGTGGTAGTTGAGGGATGCGTTGTCATGGTTGACTGCATTTCATAGGGATGGTCGCTGTGGAATGATTAGATTGTTGTCTATCAGATGCGGGTGGATTTAAGTTATTATTAGTTACATTCATTAATGTGATTATTGATAGAGTCCTTACGTTTTGTCTTAAGTTGCAGATAGACTGCA